TATATATTATATATATATATATATATTATATATATATATAAGGCATATATAATTGAAATTAAAGAGACGGTTGGAGAAGTGAAATTACCCTAAGCCCACAACCAAACAAGGAAGAGGAGTTAAGGCAAAAACACAAGTCCTAGGTCTGTTGAATCTCATATATATATATATATATATATATATATATATATATATATATATATATATCTATATATATATATATATATATATATATATATATATATATGTCTGTGTGTGTGTGTGTGTGTGTGTTTTGGTAAAAACAATAATTGAAACAGTTGAAATAATTTATAATTGTTTGAAAGAGTTTAAAATAGATTGAAACGTCTAAAATCGTTTGAATGTTAACACAAGATTTGCTTGTGTTTTAATTGTATTCCCCCTTAAAAACATGGAAAAATAGTGAAAAAGTAGGGGTATTAACTCACTTGATTTGACGAAACCGCGAGTTTCTGCTGAAAATCAGGTTCTGCACGGGCAGAGTTTAAAACTGAAAAACTCTTTTCTCGCAGACTTCGGGTGCTCTGGGGCTTTCTTCTAGTGCTAGGAAGGTTCCCTAAGTATTGGGGGGTTTAGAGTGGCTTGAGAGAGTGTAGAGAGTGAAAGAAAGAGTGAATTTTCAAAATAATTCGGGCAGCCTCGCATCCTTTTTATAGCTGGTCGAGGCCTTGCTTTACGCTGGGCGTAACCTCGGTACGCAGGGCGTACCTTCGTACGCGGCGCATACGAGTGAATAGATTTTCGAAACATGCTGAGTCTACGTGGTCAATCCGAGGCCATGCAATGCCAACGCGAGGCGTAACCCTCTACGCGGGGCGTACCTTCGGATAAGCGTCGAAATGTGTGCCTCAAACTTAAAAAATTCATAACTTTCGCATACGAGCTCCGTTTTCGATGTTTTTTATATCCACATGTAGTTGAGATTGTACTCTAGTGCTTTCATTTAGACTCCGTCAGCTAATTTTGACATTATTTTCAAAGGTATATTTTTAATAGGCCGGGACATGAAAAGTCCGTTAAAAATTTATAACTTCTTCATCTGACGTCCATTTTCATCTGTCTTTTTACCGTTGGAATACTATTGACGAGATCTTCGATTTGCATTTAGTTTGTGTCGGCTAAAGATTGCTCGATCTATAATTCGAATTCGGGCTGCACACTGTTATTCCAAATTTTTGAAAATTCCAAATTTTAGAAAGTTCATTACTTCCTATCAGTTTAACGTATGCTACAACTTTTGTGTAGGTCTCTAAGGCTAAAAATGATTTTATCGTAAAGTTCTATTGCGAAACTTCGACAGACCATAACTTCTTCGTTATAACTCAGATTTCGGCGTTCTTTATATCTCCGGAATCTTTGTCACGACCACTACTGCTTTATTCATAGATATCGGGTTGATATAACATTTTATTTTTGATGCTATTTTCATCTTAATTTATTACTTTAAAACGAGTTACAATGGTTGACCTAGACTATTACATTAAGTTACATTGTAAATTTACTGGTACATGGTTGAAGTTTAGACCTTGATTAATCTAGAATTTTTCCAGTTGTGACATCATCCCCCCGTTAGAGGGAATTTCGTCCTGAAACTAGTTCTAAAGTGGTACTCATGAACTAGGGAAAAGGTGTGGGTACTTTTGTTTCATCTGATCTTCTTGTTCCCAAGTGAATTCAGGTCCTCGCTTGGCATTCCAGCAAACCTTCACTATTGGTATATGGCTTTGTTTTGTTCTTTTGATTTCCCTGACCATGATCTCCACTGGTTCTTCTACGAAATGTAGACTCTCATTTAACTCGATTTCGTCGACTGGAATTACAAGAGTCTCGTCATACAGACACTTCTTTAGATTAGATACGTGAAAAGTGGGATGTATGTTACTGAGTTCATGTAGTAGTTTGAGTTTGTAAGCCACCGGGCCGATTCTAGCAAGAATCTAGAATGGTCCGATGTACCTTGGATTTAGTTTTCCACGTTTGCCAAAACTATCATTCCTTTCCAGGGTGAGCCATTTAACAGGACGCGGTCACCAACCTGAAATTCCAAGGGTTTTCGTCGTTTGTCCGTATAACTCTTTTGTCTGTCTGTAGAAGATTCCAGTCGTTTCCGGATTTGGATGATCTTCTCTGCTATTTCTCTAATGATCTTCGGACCGGTTAGAGTGCTGTCGGGTACTTGTTTCTTTTGCAGTTGTGTATCATCCACTTCAGCCCAACACCGAGGGGATCTGCACTTACGACCATAGAGGGCTTCAAATGGAGCAACTTTGATGCTATTGTGATAGCCATTGTTGTACGAGAATTCAATGAGTGGTAAATAGGTATCCAAAGCTTTACCAAAATATATCACAAAAGCTCTCAACATGTCTTCCAACATCTGTATGATTTTCTCACTTTGCCCATCACTCTAGGGATGGTACGTTGTACTCATGTCGAGTCGGGTTCCCAAGGACTTTTGTAATGATTTCCAAAACTGTGAGGTAAATCTACTATCTCTGTCAGAGATAATGGATATTGGCACACCATGCAATCGTACTATTTCTTTAATGTACGTCCTTGTTAATTTTTCCATTTTATCATTTTCCTTTATTGGCAGGAAGTGTGCGGATTTGGTTAATCTGTAGATGATTACCCAAATGGTATCATGACCACCTGTTCTCTTGGGTAACTTGGTTATGAAGTCCATAGACCCAAGATGTCACGTCGTGAGAAACGCTCTAAACAAATTGATGAATAAAGCTTGCAATCCTTTCAGCCATGCAACCAAAACTTCTAGAAGGTCTTTTCTACTTCAGAACACCATAAAAGTCATATGTTTTTAGGCATGCGTGGCCAATACATGTCTCAATAATAAGCTATTCCTGAAATGGTGCAAAATAGGATCAAGATCTCATGAAAAAGCTCAAGGTTCTATAAAACTTCAGCTTCATGACTTTAATCCACAAAAGGACCCTGGGGATCCATAAAGTTGGAGACTTTATGGAACCCCAACATTCCCACTAGCCATAACATAAAGAAAAACATTGCAAAACCTAGATATATGTACTTAGAATCATAAAGTAACGAACTTTGAATACTGATGTCACACCCCCGACCGAGGCGGAAGAACATGCCGAGATGTGACACTATGTTCATGAATCACAGATAAATTGAGTATGTAGCACAAGTACAACAAAAAAAATAGCATTATTCCATCTTGATGTTTGAGTACAAGGTTCTTACAGATAATAATAGTATATAGATTGCCTTAACAGAAAGGAAGAGAATACAACAGCTAGTAAACTAGGTCACCTGTAATCCAATCCATCTTGAATGTCAGTTTAGTGATTCCCTGAGAATACATGTATTTTTGAGGGTCAACACAAAGCTCGTGAGAGTTAAAAGTTTTCTGCTAACAGCAGAAATACTTTTAAAAAGTCTAAAAAGTATTTTCCTTCTAAGTATAACCATACTTAAAATAGTGTTTGTAAAGAGTCTTTGAATAAGCTTTAGACACTACAATGTATCTTTTCATAAGTAAATCTTACTTAAAATAGTTTTCAAAGCAACCTAGCCCATCGTTTGTAGTAAGAGAAACCATAAGTAAATCCATACTTAAAACTATTTTGTAGAGAGAGAAACCAAATCCATGGTTTTGTAGTTAGAGAGAGACCATAAGTAAACTCATAACTAAAATAGTTTTGAAAGAAACCAAGCCCATGCGTTGTAGTGAGAGAAAGAGATTCTAGTTAATGTTTATATTGAGCCCTATAACTGAGCTATGTTACTGAATATACCCCATACAATGCTTAATTGTATGTTGTACTAACGATAATAGACACTTATCACCCGCTTCGATTGATCGGTTGAGGTTGTATCTAGAAACTGCAAGTGGGGATGTCAACCCCGTATAGATCTATACATACGTATCTCGCTCCAAAGATTAACAGTTATAGTACTGTGTGTATTCTAAGTGTTTACACTTATCTAACGAATATAGTCTCACTAAAATGCCCTTAACTAACATATATGAGTAACTCTCAGCCCTAACTAATAAGTGGATAAGTTACTAGGCTTAATGAATTGTATATAATTTATAAAAGTCGAGTATAACTGGTATACATGCGTAGTATAAGGTACTTGATTTTATAAATAGGTATGTCTCAAGAAATTTTCATGTAGAAACTTTATAAACATACATGCATGGTAATAGTTTGAATCCTTGAGAAACTATAAAGTTTTATGATGTGCTTTTTATGATATTCAATGTCACATAAAATCATATATTTTTGTATGATGTAGCATTTGTTGTGTGGACTAGTTATTTCATGATAAAATAACTATAATATGTATGGAAACTTTTTACTAGTTTATTTGTAACAATATGTTACATTATCAAACAACATTTTTATAAAGTAGACTTGTTGCATTTTCACATAAAATGATAATTTGTTTGCATAAACAAAGTATATAGCTACATGTATTCCCCCTCCCCCCAAATCATTAGAAATATTAAAATGGGGCCGTAAGCACTAACCCTTGAAGCATGAATTTGATTTGTTTGGAATTTGTTTATTTTGAGAAGATTGACATGTGAAACCGCAAAACCACGATTCTTGAACTTTGAAATCACTACTAGAAAACAACCCTTTAACGACGCGCAAACAATGACACGCGCTGATAGAGGAAACACATTTGTGCGTGCCCTAAAACGTAATGTCAGTTTTGCAAAATTTGAAGGATAGAGGACACACATTTGTGCATGCCCTAAAATTAGTCTCAGAAAAGAAAAAAAAAGGAAATGCGGAGGGCGCCTTTCATAAAATGTGTGTCATGTAAGTGTGTCGCTTTATAATTTTTTAATGAAACACGCGTTTTAAGGCGGGATTTCACCAGCCTATTGGATCCTAAAAATTAAAACCCCCGCCTCTTCCAGTTAGTAAGAAAAAGCCCTAGGCCCTTCGTCTTCATAGCAGAATTGCTCTTGCTTTCGTGATCAAATGCCTCGCGACTACGATGATAACGATCATCGTCTCGGCGGAGTCACCCCAACCTCCATTTTTATGCGACCCTTCAGCACCTGCACTGCTATATCCCTTCTACAACGTCAAATTACCGATTCCCAACCACGCTCACGATGTCGTTTCACGACTTACTTTAGACGAGAAAGTTTTGTAGTTGGTTCACGGAGCGTCGGGGATTCCTCGCCTTGGGATCTCCGCTTACGAGTGGTGGTTGGAGGCATTGCACGATGGGTGGGTTTCATTAAATAGTTTGGGATTTTACAAAGAGGAAGAACACTCAATGCCTTCACGTGTACATAGGCCCATTACTCGCGTACAACTATAAAGATATGCGATTTCGGGTTTCTCTTTGGCGACTCATTCCCTCTCCCCGTCGAGTTCGAAATTGTCACTGGAGGAAGTAAGGGCAGTGCAAGATGATGAAGGGCCTTCAAAGGCGCTTTGTTTAATACAGAGTGGTAGTAGAGATAATGGTGTTGTTGCTAGCCCTAAACAATTGTCATCTTCAAAGAAATTATCGAAGAAAAATGTATTTCGATGTGGGGTCAAGTTCTTCCTACACCCCAAAATAATCAAATAAAGAAATAGCACACGAGAAGGTAAAACTTTATCTTCCGTTCTCTTCTGCTTCACATGTCTGCTAAACATTTTAACCTCACATCATGACACGTCTTGAATTCAATGTAAAAGTTGTATGGAATTAAAATTGAAGTATATGAGAGAAAATTTGTAAAAAGTTAGGTATTAATAGGGAAAGCTTCAACAAGTACGGTGCTAGTTGTGGCCCTGAAGCTGTCTGGTTCAAGGTTTGTATCACATTTGAATCATAAATTGATTAAAGATTAAAACTTTGTGATTCCAAATCTAATAAGTTCAGTTTGTTTGGTTACATGGATGCAGACCGGTGCTGTACTACTTAACGGGAACACATTGAATTACTTCGGGAAGAACATCCCCATTAACCTCGTCCTGGCTATCGTTGCAGAGGTTGTTCTTGTTGGTGGTGCTGAATACTATACAATCACCAATGGCATGGTATGTACATATATAGAATTAACCAACTGTTTCATAATATTTTATTCCTTCAGTGATTAATTTTGGGAGGTTTTTACATTTATGTATAGGATTTTGAGGTCAAACTGTACCCTGGTGGGCCATTTGACCCATTGGGATTGGCTAATGATCCGAACTAGTTTGCATTGTTGAAGGTGAAAGAGATCAATAATGGTAGACTAGCAATGTTCTCCATGTTTGCATTCTTCATCCAAGCCCATGTGGCTGGACAGGGCCCTGATGAAAACCTAGCTTCTCACTTATGCGATCCCTTTGGAAACAACATTCTAACTGTTATGTCTAGAAACATTGAACGGACCCCAACCCTGTAAACCCCAAATTTCAACTCTTCATCATGATTGATAACCAAATGCCACTCACATAATCTATACTTTTTGATTTTATGACAAGGTGTTGGATCATTCGTTTGTTTATCATAGCATTTTACATTTATTATTTCCTATTACAACATTTGACACATTCACCCATCTACAGCAATGTCATTCAATCATATGATAATTTTCATTGCTAAAATTGGTGGATGTTTCTTAGTATGTCAAAAAAGAAAAGTAGAATTTTGTAAACTGATTGATAACTACAACACCCGATGTGACAACCATCAAAATTGGAGTCGGTTCTAGATTTAACTAGACTTAGTTGCACATATAGGCACTACACATACTAGACTTAGTAACTAGAAGCTAGGTTATAACCTACTTGAAACTTGGAAACAATTAGAATCAATGGATAGTGTACTTAGATTTCACATTGATATGTGAATTCTATAACTACTTAACTGTAGAGACTATCCATATTTGGGTCACTCTTTGACTCGAACACCTTTTCATGAATCATACACACACATCATGCACTTGACCTAGTGGTATAAATTAGGTCCGAGTCTCGTAGGAACTTAAGTCAAAGTTGAAGACTAGGACTAGTATACTTGATTCCTCAATTTCGCTTAAATCTCGGAATCACTACATAGAATGCCAATAAACCGATAAAAATAAATTACAAACATTATTTATAACTATAAAAGAGTTATAATACCATAAGATAATTTAAAGTCTCAAATATTCTATTTATTTTGATATTCAAAGTTTATTAAACTCCAAAACACTAAAAGCCCTAAAAACTCATATTTATAAACTTTAACCTTAAAAATCCTATAAAAACAATTATGAACCTTATAATATTATCTTATCATAATAATTATTATGAAATACAATTCAATGAAAAATAAAGATTTAGTTATTAACATTTACCCTTGATTTATAAGCCAAAAATCAAGAGTTTTATGCATAAAAAACTAGGTTAAGGTGCACATTTTATAAAAAGTTGGATATTTTTATAAAAGATTTGAATTTTTATAAAAGAAACAAGAGAGAGGGAGCCTCTCCTCCCCTAAAATCGGATCCCTCTCTCCTCATATCTCTCTCTCACACTCTCATTCTCCAACACACACACATCTCTCTTCTTTCTCTCTCTAGAAAACTCTCTCTACCTTCTCTCTACTTTTTCTCTCCAAACACCACTCCATTCTCTCTTCCTCCCTCTAAGAACCAAGAAATATTCCAGAAAACAAACCCAAGAACACTCCTCAAACTCGAAATCTTCATCATCTTGTGGTATTCTTGAAGGTAAAATCGATTTCTACTTCACTTTTCCTTCAAGTTTTGCTCTTTTTCTTACACTTTCTCCTTCTTCATCTTCTTCAAACTTGTTTTCTTTTTGTTAAAATGGTTTTTAGAACATGATGGATGTGTTTTAACACCATGCATGTATGATAAACAAGGTTGCATGTTCATGATCTTAGGGCAAAAATCGATTTTAAGGATTAAAACATCAAACTCAAGTTAAGAGTTTTTGAGAAACAAAATTTTCTTCATAAATGCATGTATACATTTTGATAAGTTTTAATCTTTTGATCTCTGGAAACATGACCAAAATATGAGGTTATCATGATATATTTAAAATACTTCAAAAGATTTACTCAAGGAAATGATGAAAACCTACTTTTCTAACCAATCATCATGCATGCAATCTGCCAGATTTCTTTACCTGACTTTAAACTGTCATATCTCACTCATTTCTTAGCCAAAATTCGTGATTCTTTTTCTGAAATATAATATTTTGAGTTAGCTTTCAAACCCATCTGACCTCACTGAAAAATTCCAAAACTGTTGCTCAAACAGCACTTTCCTTATGAACATTTGTTTTGTGTTGCATGTTCAAAGAACTTATTCATCACTAAAAATCATTCAAAAATTATTTTGTAATAGGTACAAAAAGATCTTGATTCAAAAGTCTTTGTAACATGTTGCAAAAATTGTCAAAGTAACATCAATAATCTTTACATAAATCACAAGAACCAAGTTTTCTCTATAATTTATTGAGCCTTTAGGTATGGTGTTCAACATCAAAAATAAGAGCACAAATTGTCATTGTTATCAAATTGTATGAAGATGCATTCTGGAAATTTTCAGCTCAATATATATTTTCTTTATTTTTATATGAAAATAATAAGAAAATAAAGTGTTAAATCATTTAAAATACTTAAGCTAGTAAATAAATTATGGAAAAATTCTTGAATGATCCTTTAAGTTAATAAACATCTCCCATTAAGTTTCATCCATTTTGTTACTGTTTAATATGGTTTTCAATTTTCTTTTTGTTTAGCTCTAATAAATCATAAAACCACATTAGGGAATATAAAAATGGTATCTAATAATTTTCGCAGCTTATACTCTCTGTGGAACACTTAGAAAAATATTTTTAGAATTTTTCATAATGTATTCCTATTTTTCTCCGATTTTTGTATTTATAATGGACTAAAAACAGGAAAAATAGTTTTACTCATCCAAACATTATGAAAATTTACCAGAACACCTTGTAGTACATTAGGATGCTACATAAAAATTTTGATGATTTTTCTCTTCTGTATACTATTTTTCTTCTATTTTCCCAAGATTAAATACACTTAAACCCAATTTTTATTAGAATACATACACAAAAATCATAAAATTGGGATAAACAGTTTATAAATTCATTTTATATTTTTCCTAGCTTAATAATGACTAATAAAAGCGTTACAAAAATTTTGGGCAATTTTGGAAACTATTTTCTATTTATTTCAATTTTTATTAGAATAAATGCTCAAAAATCATAAAATTGGGTTAAATTGTCTGGAAATCTATTTTTATATTTTTCCCAGGTTAAGTACGTGTAATGACATTACTATAAAAAGTTTGGGGCATTTTCTTAACCGATTTCTATTTTTCATGAATTTTTATATATTTAGAGAATTAAATATATGAAAAATGGTTATGCATATCTATAATCTATGAAAATTTATCTAGAAGTCTTTTAACATATTTAGAACCAAAATCTGAAGTTTGGTAATTTTTATTAATTGTTTAGTATTTTTCATGATTTTATGGTTATTCAAGAAACTAAAATGGTGAAAAATAGTTAGACAAATCAAAAATTCAAGAAAATTTATCTTGAGGTCTTTGACTTCAATTAAAACTGAAATGCAAAGTTTGGGAACTTTTAGAACTAAATTGATTTAGTTTTGAATATTTAATCATTAGAACACCTCTAAAATGTTAAATATTAACATTTCAATAATGGAAATTTTCCACTTAAATTGTTATATAACAATTGATTCATTGAAATTAAATTTTCATAGAAAAATGTTTGTAACTTATCTATATTAAATTTTGACACAATATTGGCATAATTCTATTGTAGTAGTATGTATACTAGTGTTAGATTTCGATTAGAGACTCATTAGTGTGTAACATCGTTGTAGGAAAACGATAGTGGTACGAGTGGAGCGTAGTTCAAGGCACCATTTGCATCATCTCAATGCATTGTGAGTATTCACGCACTCCCCTATTTTCAGTTTTTTTTTATGTTTTGGGGTGGAAAAGCATGTCCCGAAAAACTATTATTTGAATGTTGTATTTAAATTGATTTGTATCAAACATGATTGCTATTTTATTGCTATATCTCTCTATGTATGTATATGCAACACGGAACATGAGAACTTATCGTATTAAGGCCCTTCCCTTATCTCTAACCATTAACTCTTTGAGCCAATGGTCATTATGGATAGCGCTATTAGGAATTGACAACTCCTCACTCGCCCTATTGCTGGAGTGCATGATACCATATTCATCTATGGAACGATAAGCATAGATCTTGATAGGGCTTCAGTCATAGGTTTGGTTGAGACTCATTGTTTGCTCATACACATACAAACTCGTTACTTATTATAGCAATAAACTTGTTTATTAATTATAGCAATGAACTTTGTTTCTCATTACAACAACGAACTATTATTACTGAAAACTTATATACATGTTTTAGCAATGAAATTGTTTGCTCCTTGTAGCAACGAAATTGATTGCTCATTTTAGCAGTGAAACTTGTTTACTCGTTTGAGTAACGAACTTTATCTTCCATGAGAATATGAATGTTGCATCTTATTTGGGCAACATACCTTATCTCTCATGATGACAAAGAACTTTGTTTTTACAAACTTATTTACTCATCTTAACAGTATACATTTATTATTGGAAACTTTTATCAAAACTTTGATTTCAATTCATGGAACCAGTATCATTTTGTTTATCTGTGAGTACTCACCAACTATTTTTATAGTTGACGCTTGTTTTACATGCTTTTTCAGGAATCATCGAGTAAGTGGCACTTAGGGACACTTCACCTTTAGGAGCGTTCGCATGTGTTGTATTTCAATTTACATTGTAATTTCTTTTAAAAGTTGTTCAAACCCATTGTGAATTTGTAATGATTTTTACTATGGTTGGTGTTGTCTTTTAACTTTTGCGATGAAACCCTTTATACTGCCACGCCCTGTGTTTCCGCTTTAGCGGGGTGTGACACCCGACTCAGGTTTGTTTGCTCTCTATTTTTTTCTTTTTAAATTTATATATATATATAAACCAGTGATTTGAGTATCATTGGCTACTTTCATTCTATAGCTTGTGCAACACAGGCTAAGGGTATAGATGATAGCTTGCATGTGAGTCATTATAAGAAAAGAATGGAATGGTTTATTCCATTGTTTTTTTTCATATATCTTTAATGTTTATGAGTTGTTCACTTTTCT